TCATCCGTCAGCCCACCCAGGTCCTTCTCCTCCGGGCTGCTCTCTAGCCATTCCCCGCCGAGCCTGTATTTGTGCTTGGGATTGCCCTGACCCAGATGTAGGACCTTGCATTTGGCCTTGTTGAACTGCATGAGGTTGGCTTGGGCCCACCTCTCCATCCTGTCCAGGTCCCTCTGGATGGCATCCCTCCCCTCCAGCGTGTCTACCTCACCAAACAGCTTGGTATCATCAGCAAACTTGCTGAGGGTGCACTCGACCCCACTGTCCATGTCCGTGACAAAGATGTTGAATAGTACAGGTCCCAGTAGTGACCTAGACATGCGACCTGACATCCCAGCACCAAAAGAGAGATGATGGGCAGGGGGGAAAGTAGGAAAGAGATTTTGAACAGGGACGCGATAGGAAAGAGGACGCGAGGGCGGGTGCATACGCTGGGCAGGCCTGGGGCAGAATGGTCACGTCTTCCCCCCCCTCGCTGCTCGCCCCGGGCCGGTGGGTGCCGCCGGCGGGTGGCACTGCCGAGCCGCGCTGCCGCAGCAGCATCCGACCCTCCGGGCGGTCACGGGCTGCTCACCCAGCCGCTCCCCGCTGGCCACAGCTCCTCCGGCGACATTTCGGTTAGTTACGTGCAGGTTGAAAGGTTTCTTCTAGACGATGCTCGATCAAAGCATAGGAGGAAACTGCCCTCCCTCGCACATCTGTCCAGGTGTTTTCTTGAGTGGAGCATTGCGGGTCAATGGCTTCTGGTGAAAGCGCTTCTCTCCAGCCAGAGACGAGTTATGCCGGGTTGCCACAGGCATGTGGGAAGGTAGTGGATCTGAAGCCGTGGGGAGAGAAGTCTAGCTACACCGGGAGAAGAAAAGAGATGATAGTTGTAAAGATATAGTCCCAGATAGTCCTGGGAATGGGACTGATAGTCCCAGAGCCAGACTAGCAGATCGTAAAGCCTGGTACCCCGCTGAAAGGCTACGAGCTGGGCTCCTCTCCCTGAGTCCCACACAAAGCCAGGTTATTTTGGCCTCTTCCTTTACACATGGGAGGTTATGCTATCCTAACTTTACTCCAGCTTTACCTGGAAACTACCGCCAGCTTAATATAATAAAATGCTATCTGTACTTAGGCAGGGTACATCGCTGCTGGTGGCTCTTCCTTCTAATAACGTAGCGGCACGCAGCCCGTTTTGTGCTAGTGCTGTTTGACTTCAAGCCAAGACTGATACGGCCAAAAGCATGTGGATCATACATGGATTATTTTTTTTTGCCGACAGCACGTGGGTCTCTCATGAGCATTGCAAAAGGCAGTGTGAGGAAGTACCAGAGCAGGGAGCTACACTGAGGGTCACAGTGTAAAACGAACACATGGGAGAATCTGGCAATCCTCACTGGAGTCTCACTGGCTTTTTTTTTTTTTTTTTCCTGGCTCACATCTATACGCTTTTCTGCTCTCATTTCAGCATGGAATCATTTATGTTGTAAACAAAACAGACAGAGCAGGAGTGTCGTACTATTGCATTCCCTTGAGCGAAGGCAAGTGCATGCAGTGGCAGCCTCAGGCTGCGTGTGAGGGCAGTTCCTTCAGCAAAGCTGGCTTGACAAGTCTCTTGTCCGCTTCTTCCTCTTTGGTGTAGAATCGGGGGAAGGTTGATAAACAAGGATTGCACAGCATTCAAAATAAAGATTTCAGCCTACAAAATAAAAGGGGCTAATCAAGGCATATCCTTGGTTTTCCTCCAGCTACATAGGATGGAGCTCAACAACCTCAGCTCAGGAGCATCCTCAGCAATGCACCAGCTAGGTCTCCTTCACTCTGTTCTTATCACTCTCTTTTGGGGTTTATACATGCAATAGTTTACATTGTCCCTTTTAGGAGACAGGTGTGAAACACCTGGGCCTATTGCAACTGTCTGGCATTAAATTCGTGCAGGAATACACAGAACACTATTGCACAGAGCAGGAGAGGAATGAAATTAATTCCGAAGCAAGGGGGTAAAATTACCACAAGGAAATGCAGAACCCTGACTTGCATACTTTTGCAAAACTGTCATGCTGCAAAAGGATCACCGTTCACTGAACTCTTCAGTGCAAAGAAGGATGAAATATGCTGTGCGTAATCAACGAGCTTGAAAGAAATATTAGAAACAGAATGAGATAGTGTTTAATCTTTTCCATACTCCAGTTTTACACACTCCTATAAAATCAACACAAAGCTGCCAATGTTGCCTTTTCTTTTCAAGATGCATTTTTAAAATTAGACCAATTTACAAAACATGCAAGTTTTCGTAATATTACAGCAATGATGTTTGACTCATTCAGAAGGTGCAAGTACCAGAATTAAATGAGGGGTGACGTGTAGGTGGTTTCGGTACCAGTTCTACTCACACCTGTGACTTGCAGCAACCAGACAAAGTTTGCTGTATGTTTTCCCATCACTTTTGAAATTAATGGGAAAACTTGAGAACATCAGGGCACCCCAGAACTCACCAGCTGTGGAAGGGCCCAACACCTCTACCCTTTTGCGTTCAGGCAGTGAGATCAGCTACGTGCATTTGACAATTGCTAGGCTGGGAGCAGCTGAAATATATTCTGTTTCATGGCCTGTATTCAAGCTGTTAGGACAACATCAGACTTTGCAACTGCTGTGACTGATCTAGGATCAGCCCCTCCTGGGTCCGTGGCCTGCCAGAAACCCCTTGAGCCAGTAAATCTGTGTTTCAGTGGCTCTGGTGCCTGAGGAGCTTCCAGGCAAGGCAGGGCTGCCAAAGCTCGGAGCATCCTGGATGCCCGCACTTGCTCAGCCCAGAGAAGCCCTAAGTAACGTATCCTGAATAAGGGGAAGGAAAAGGCAGGGAGAGCACTGTCATTTCTGGGCAGGGAAAATGGGCTGTTTTGCACAGCAAGAATGGACATCCACAGACCAGAACTGTCCCCCTCCGTGCCTTCCCCAACCACTCTAGCTGTCTAGCCCTCAAATGCTACCTCCATAAACAAAAATATGGTGGACCAGACCCTCTGCTGACATCCATTTGGGACGGCCATCAAAGCAACTGATACCATGTGAGAGCCTGGCCCATCACAGAGCCTGTCAGATGAAGTTGCCGCAAACCCCATTTAACAGGTTCTGAAGATTTCATTTAGGTTTTCAGTTACTGAAGCTCAGGAGACTTCTGTGGAGGAAGATGATTAAAACACTGCCAGTCCTTCCCATGTGAGGAGGTGAAGGACTGCTGTTTGTCCCTGAGCTATGTTTGAGACGTTACTTCTCTACTTCTCAAGACGAAATAATAATGCAGAAGTCACCTGTATCATTCAGATAGCTGTGTTTGCCGATTTGTTTCAGAAAAATGTAGAAATGTATGAGTTCGTGTCTGTAATGGATCTTTGTTCAAGTCCCAGGTATGTCACCTTATGGAGGCCATATTCCAGGAGAAATTTAATGAAGGCAGTCAGATGTTGGAAGTTGAGGCAGGAAGAGAGCCGCTGGCCACAACACAGGTATTTACCCGACTCCCCTCACCCTCATTTTTACATTGTGACCGAATGCCTCATCACTGCCAGAACCAGGCCCTAAGAAAGCTTTTTCCTAAGTGAGCCTGGAGTAAGACAGACTGTGCTGAGTCTCTGCTCTGACGGACATGAGCCACACAGGTTTTATCCCACCTCTCCAGCTCTTGCCCTCATTAGCTGTTCAACATCTTGCTTTCAGTTATGGATCAGATCAGCATTTACCCTGGAGAGCATAAAAATATGATAAGAAGCTTGCTCTTTACTCCAGTAGGTGCAGGATCAGGCCTGTGAACTAGCTGCTGTGCTCTAAAGCTGTTAGCACGGCGCAAGGCTACCGGGCTCCCTCGGGCATGTCAGAGCTGTGAAATTCTGCAGGGTCCAACAGGGTGTCACAGCTCTCGCAAAGAGGCACCACCGCTCAAACCTGCCCTTCGGCTACTTTCTAAAGCCTGAAAAGATCTTTAAAGAACACCATATGTACATAAACTTCACCGCTTTGGAAAGGAGACACACTTGTGTCGGTCATTTTGGGAGGAGATCTATATTTCTGTGGTGCAGTGGGTGGAATACATAGGAGAATGAGCCAGTGGGAGGCATGTCTGGACACCTTGCTCCTCCCTAAAGCCTGGACCTTGCCGAAGGATGGTGCCTCCTCATCCCAAAGCTTCCTCCAAACTAACATTCTGCACTCTTTATTGCAGGTTTCAGAGTTGTGATACCACAGAGGCAAAACATTCAGAAATCACTAAACTCCCTGAAATATTTTTTTTTTTAACAAATGCACTTGGGATAAATATCCTCTGGCTTGTAAGCTCTAAAATACATTTGGACAACTGCCCATATTTCTCTCTCTAATCACAAAATAAAAAGGCTTACTTTAATTTTTTTCTTATACAGTGAGATGGTTCCTGGGGCTGGGGACTCTACGAGAGTGCAAAATATGAAGAATAGCCTATCTAGTGACACGTGTCCTCAGTTTTGGCCCAAGCAGAGAATAAGTAGCAAGGCTTGCATGTACCAGACAAGAGGAGTGTGAGATTACATTTGGAAGCTTCTGTGGACATTGAATCACTGGAAGAGAAATAATTCTAGTGATTTTTTTT